TCCTGTTGCGGATTTTCTTACGAACCCCTCCGTTGCTTAGAACGACCAGGCTGACAACCCCGGCTAACGGTAGCCAGCCCTGCTCTGAAGGTACGAATTCCACTCTCTCTCTCTCTCGCTCGCTCTCGCTCTGAAGGTACGAATTCCACTCTCTCTCTCTCTCTCTCTCTCTCGCTCTCTCTCTCTCTCTCTCTCTCTCTCTCGTTCGTTCCTTCGACGGTATGGGCTCCGGTAGTGGTCTCAACTCTCTCTCTCTCTCTCTCTCTCTCTCTCTCTCTCTCTCTCTCTCGCTCGCTGGCTGGCTGCTCGCTCGCGCGCGCGCGCAACACACACGCAGAGGCACCTCGCGGCCGGCCTCTCCTTCGGCCTCCTCCTCCACCCCGTCCCCCTGTATCTAAGTCTGTGTGTTATGTATGCGTCATAATCCCTGGAAATGATTACCTTCCCAGTGACAATTGATCAGGATAATCCCAACGTATGTCCTCCATCTAGAACCGAAATCCCGAACGGACGACCATCTGCGCGGCTCCTTTTCTGGTGTGTGTCTGGGTGTGTGTTGCCATGTGTGCTATAATTCTAAACTCCACCAAAAAACCGTGACTCCTGGTCTGGCTCCACTGCTCTCTACTCTAGGAAAAAATAGAGAACCAAGCAGCCAGCTCAGTTGGTACACCAATTTTAGCGGACCTCTGGCTGGCCTGTGAGACCAGCCCCTTGGCCTGTTCTCACAGGCCTGTGTTTTATTCGGGGAGTCCAGTCCATTCCCATCAGTCCGCTGGGGTATACCCTAGCCGTTGTCTGTTTTCGAGATTATTCTACACTTGCACGATTTTGGAGTACGTGCGTTGGAGTCTTGCGTGGGAGCTGCGCTGTGCCATCTTGCTCCTCCCTCATCCTCCATCTCTATCTGTATCCCAGGCGGAGCACCTTCCCGGTGGGTCCGCTACATTGGTATCGGAGCGGGAACGTTCCCCTTTCCCACCCACCACCCTGTATAACAGTGAAAACAGCAAAACCCGACAGGCGGGTTTTTGGCTGTTTCCAGGTCCGTTTTCGTGAAAAACGAGGGAAAAAACAAGCTGCAGTTGCAGGAGGTGACACGTGGCGAAAAAAGCACGTGGCACCACGAGCGAGCGCCGCCGCACGCGCGTGCGCCACCCACACCGCCGCATGACCGCAGCGCCACCTGACTTTCCCTCCTCTGGGATGCCCCTCGCTGCTTGTGCGTCCACTTCCTCCACTCTTCCTCCTGCCACTCCTCGCTCGATCCACGTCCAACGTCTCGAGGACGAGCTTGCCCAGATCCGGGCCGACCTCACCCTCTTACGCCTTCAGCCACCCCCACCCTCACAGGTGGCCGCGCCTTCGGGCGCACCTCCTCCTTCCTCTACCCTTTCTTCCATGCAGGCTCGCTTCCCTCGTCCTGCACCCTATCCAGCCCCATCCTACCTTCTACTTGTTCCCTCGGTTGCTGTGACCTCTTCTACCGCAGCTCCCTCGCAGCTTGCCGCTGTTGCCCCCGCCGCTCCCCCATGCGGCCCAGGCGCACAGTCAGCTGCGCCCCTTTCTCCAGGACCTGCACTGACTTACTCAGTCGCGGCACAGGCCTCTGCCCCTCGATCCCCTCGCCGCCAAAACGGTGGCGCACCACTCATCTGCTTGGCGGATATTCCCGTGTACGACGGTACAGGGATACGCGTGTCTCGGTGGCTGCAGTCTGCCACTTGCACACTTCAGCTCATGGGCGCCACCCCCGACACGTGGGTGGGTCACCTCTCCACGCGCCTGCGTGGCGGTCCTTTTGACGCCTGGGAGGATTTATACGCTTACTCCCTTCATGTGGGTCGGACTCTGACCTTTATGGATTTTCAGGCGTTCCTCGAGGATCGCTTCGGAGCCCGACATGACGTGACTGACGCCTTCGAGCGTGTCGTCACTACACACTGGTCCGGCTCTGATGGCGCTACCGGCCTGGATCGCCACATCCAGGTCTTTCAGGACGCCCGCCTCATTTGTGACGTGGTGTTCCTCCCCGAGGCTTCCCTTATCGATCGTTTTTTGGCCAACCTTCCGCTCGAGTACCGCTCCGAGTTATGGCGGTACGAGTTCACATCTGCCCCGCAGGCTTACAAGGCCGCCAGAGACCATCAGCGGATGCGGGCCCGTCTTCACCCCGCCTCCTCCTCCCTGCCTCAGTGCACGGGCTACGCCTCCTCCTCCTCTCACGGTACTTCTCAGCGGCGTTCCCCTCTCCGCGGTCGCCCCCGCCATTCCGCGTAGCAGGGCCGCCACTTCTCGCGCCGCTTCAGCGCGCTCGAGTATGGTGAGCAGGACGTTGGTGCCCCGCTGTCGCCAGAGGGTGACCATAGCGGCGACCTCGACCTCGGCGAGGCCGTCCACCACCACCTGGAGGACTGTACTCTCCCTATGGCCGAGCGCCTCCATCTCATCCTCTCCTCCCTCTCTCGGGCACGCACCCGCCCCTGTCACGCTGGCGCGTCGCCCCCCGAGGTCCCTCAGTAGGACCTCCCTCAAGGCTTTGTCCCTCCTCGCGGTGTCCTTTCCGTTGAGGAGCGTGCGACTATTTTGGGTCGGTGTGGGTGTTTGCGATGCCGCCAGGACGGTCATACCTCCTCGAGGTACCCTTACATTGCCGCCCTTAATCGCCCCTACGCTGACCTTTCCCGCTTGTGTCCTGCTCAGTCCCCCCCGGCGCCTCGCATCCCCGCGGCGCCTCCTAGCCACAGTGTAGTGTACACCTGCGCCCTCCTCAGTAGTCGGCTTCCCGACATCCTCGTCGAGGTTTGCCCATCTCGCTATTGGAGTTGAGGTCTCGCAGGACCCAATAGAGTGTACTCAGCCCTCTGTCGCAGAAATGTCTGCGCCTCCGCAAACCACCGTCTCCCCTCCTACCCCGCCGCGAATACCAACGCGTCGAGTCATTCGCTCAGCCGGTTACAGCGAGCAGCTCGCTACTCGCGAGGACGTTGTGTTCTCTCTTCTAGACTTGAGCATGCTCCAGGCTCGTCAGGAGCGACTCACCCTCCTTGTTGCTGCACTGCGTCGCCTTCTCACCATCCTCCCTGACCCTGATCGCACCCTCTCGATCATCCCCATATGACTGGGGACCTCCACTAAGGTGTACTCAGCGTTGTGGGATTCCGGTTCTCAGGGCGACTTCATTCGCCCCCATGTGGTGAAAGAAGTCCGCTTGCCCACGACAGGGTCTCCGACTCCCATCTCTGTCACCTTAGGGGATGACAAGACCCAGCGCTTCTTCGATCAGATAGTCACCGACCTCCCTTTCTTCCTCACTCTCGAGCCGACTGATCGTCCCCCGGCGTCTCGTCATCACCGCTCCTCTGCACATTTCGATGTGATGGAGACGTGATACTATACGACTTCATTCTCGGCACTCCGTTGTCTCGTCGATTCCGCAGCACCGAGGCCGATTGGGCACCCAACGCTCTCGTTCTCAAAAGTAAGTGTGGACAGACGTATCGCGTACCTTTCATAGGTACCATTGCGACACCACGCCCCGATCCCCCTCCCCCAGAGCCTTCCGTGCCCACACCATCTCCTTCTATCACAGTCACCTCGCCTCGACAGTTCGCCCACTTCATCCGACAGGACGACGTCACCTTCTTAATGGTGAGCGTGATGAATCTCTTACACTATGATCCACCCTGTCCCGACGCCGAGCTCATYCCTCTGGAGCCAGATCCTCCTTCTATCTCAATGGTTCCCATCTCTACTTCCCACCCTTCGCCGTCCGTCGAGTCCACCCCCCCGTCGCGCGCTGACGATGACGCTGAGGAACTCGCACGATATACGGCTGACTTGGAGCCCGCAGTTCGTGATCTCATTTGAGAGTACCACGACGTTTTCGCATCGTCCTTCTCGTACGCCGGCATCCCACCGATGCGCGACGTTGAGCACTCCATCCAGCTTGTGTCTGACTATCGTGTTCACCACCAGGCACCTTACAGAATCTCGATCCCCGAGACCACTGAACTCAAGCGTCAGCTTGAGGAGCTCCTGAGACTGGGCTTCATTAAACCCAGCAACTCCCCGTGGGGTGCACCCGTCCTCTTTGCTCGCAAAGCGGATGAAACTCTCCGCCTCTGCATCGACTATCATGGTCTCAACCGCTACACGGTTAAGAACAACTATCGCATGCCTCGTTTCGATGAGCTGTTCGACCGCCTAGCAGGCAATCGCTTCTTTACGAAGATTGATCTTCATAGCGGTTACCATCAGATCCGCGTCGCGGCAGCGGACCAGCCGAAGACAGCGTTCCGATCTCGCTTCCGCCACTACAAGTTTACAGTGATGTCATTCGGCCTCACCAACGCACCCGCTACCTTCCAGAGGGCGATGAACGACATCTTCGGGGACATCTTGGCGAAGTACGTTCTCGTCTATCTCGACAATATCCTGGTCTACAGTCGTACCCTTGAGGAGCACCTCGGACACCTTCGCGACGTCCTTGACCGCTTGCGCCAACATGGCTTCTATGCCAAGCTGAGCAAGTGCCGCTTTACCCAACACAAAGTGGATTTCTTAGGACACTATGTGTCTGACCAGGGTCTCCACATGGACGACGCGAAGATCACTGCTATTGCGGAGTGGCCCGTCCCCACATCCGCCAAGCAGCTTCGCAGTTTTCTAAGCCTTATCAGCTACTATAGTAATTTCATCTAGGGATACGCTAGGTGTTCCTACGTCCTTACCTCCGCCCTTCTCCGGAAGAACCCACCCTTTGACACCCCTCCACGAGGATGCCTTTCGTGCCCTCAAGAAGGCGGTGACATGCGCACCGGTTCTTCACTTACCCGATTTTGATCTCCCTTTTATCCTTACCACCGATGCGTGGGACTTTGCTGTAGGAGCAGTGCTTTCTCAGATCTTCCCCTCCTCCCCTGATTCCTCTCATCCTCGTATCCCTCGCTTCCCACCACCTACCCCTACCACTGCTTCCCGACTGACGCCTACTCGTCCAGCTACTGACGAGCCTTCTATTGACTATTCTCCTACCATCGCCGAGGACGACACTGTCGAGTCTCGCTCAGGTGATTGTCTGATAGCCTTCTACTCCCGTCACCTCCTGCCTACCGAGATTAATTACCCCGCTGATGAATGTGAGGTTCTCGCAGTAGTTAATGCAGCAAGGCACTGGCGTCACTACCTGCACGAAGCACCATTCACGGTGCACACGGACAACTCCGTTGTCCAGGTTTTTCTGACAAAACCGAAGGCTTAGCTCACTCGTCGACACGCTCGCTGGTGGCGCGACCTATCCGAGTTTAGTTTCACCACTGAGCAGTGAGCACATCAAGGGTGAGACTAACCGGGTCGCGGATGCCTTATCCCGACGCCCTGACCACGACCAGGAGCAGATCCAGCTCTCTTCCATCTCGGTCACCACCGTCCACCACTCGGTGATCGATGAGTTTTGCACTCAGTACTGCCACTGCCTCGACTATCGCGACATCCACGCGACCCTTCGGAGTGGCAAGACCGTCCCGAACTACTCTCTCGGGGACAACGGTCTTGTGTACTGGCACGGTTCACAGGGCACCAGAGAGCCCCGTATTTGCGTTCCCTCCACTGGATAGCTACGTGTCTAAGCAGTAGCAAAGTTCCATGACCAGGCGGCTGCCGATCATATGGGCTTCCACAAGACGTTGGCTCGTGTGAGCCGCCTGTACGTCTGGCCGAAGCGCAAGGACTTTGTGAAGGACTACGTCGCAGAGTGTCCCACCTGTTAGGAGGTGAACAGTGTGAACCACATGCCTTATGGTTTGCTCCTGCCTCTTCCTATCCCTGAGGGTCGTTGGCACTCCATCTCGATGGACTTTATCGGTCTTCTTCGTCCTCCGACCCCCCGTGGTCATGATGCTATCCTGGTCGTCGTCGACCGCTTCACGAAGCGTGCAGCTTTGTTCCGTGCCGCTATGCCATCAGTGCACATGAGGTCGCCGACATCGTGTTTGACTGAGTCGTGCGTGACCACGTCTTACCTCTGAGCATCATATCTGACCGTGACCCGTGCTTTACCAGCCGATTCTGGCGACGGCTCCACGAGGTGTACGGCACTCAGGTCCGCTTCTCCTCGTCTTACCATCCCCAAAGTGATGGTCAGACCGAGGTCACGAACAGGACTCTCGGAGATATTCTCCGAAAGATTGTTCGTGACGACCRRCAGTGAGATCTCCATCTTGCCCACGCGGAGATATCCTACAACCACGCCGTCTCGCCAGCCACGGGGATGTCGCCTTACTATTGCGACCTCGGCTATCACCCTCGTGTTCCCACAGACTTCCTTCGACCGTCTTAGATGCACCCCGACACGAGTTGCCTCGCGCTGGATGATTGGGTTGCACACATGACGTCGATCATGAAGACAACACATGAGCACATAGCCGCTTCCCAGACTCGCATGGCAGCACGTGCGAACCGATCGAGGATGGATCATTCATTCAAAGTCGGTGATGATGCGCTTATCGACGATCGCCACTTATAGCTCAAAGTGGACACACTTCGCAAGTTTCGACGTCGCTTCTTTGGCCCATGCCGCATCCTCCAGGCCGTCGGTTCTGATACGGCTTCTAGCCCGGTCAACTTCCGTGTGAAGTTGCCCGACTACCTACGCCAGGTTCGTGTGCACGATGTCTACCACGTCTCGTTACTGCGTCCCTACCGCAGACCGTCTGAGCGTTTCGCTGGACAACCATATGAGCGCCCTCCACCCATCATGGTGGACGACCACGAGGATTTCCTCGTTTCAGACATCATTGGTCGCCGAGTCACCGATGACAACCCTCCCCACGTCGAGTATCTCGTACGTTGGAAGGGTTACCCTGATGATGAGGCTACCTGGAAGCCCCTCGAGCACTTGCAGCACGCTCGCTTGTTAGTGCGTGCCTATGACCGTGCTCGTCGTGCTGGGTTCACTGCTCCTCCTCAGCCCACTGACCCTTCTCCTTCTCCCCCGGCTGAGGAGACCACTAAAGTCGAGCCTGCCCCTTCTGAGGCAGACCTTCAGCAGCAGCTGGATGCTTCTGAGCATCCGCAGCGCACTCGTCGTCGTCCTGCTCGATATGACGATTGACTCTGAGTTACCTTCCCACGTCTTTGACTTCTCAGTACTCCATCCACAACAGTTTTGCTACTTCAGCTCGTCGACGTTGCGGCTCTTCCTCGACGGCATTCCGGACTTCTCATCGTAGACGTCATCGGCAGCTTCATGGACTTCGTCACGATCAGCTCTGCCTACTTCAGACGTCATCACTCTCTTACCACTTTACCCTGTACAGTACCCTTGTTGTGTCGCTTGATGGTCTCCCTTTAGCCGGGTCCCTTTGAGTTGGGCTCTCCCTTGGCATACGCATAGGCATTGGGACCGTAGTGTTGCCCTGGCTTCCCATCTTACGGATCTAGCTCCGACTTGCCTCACCTTAGGAGTCATTTGCATGATTCCCTTACCCATCATCTTTCTACCCTCTGTCGGCCCTCACGCCTTACTTAGGCAGCCTTGCATGCTTCATCTAGGTGCGCCCAGTATACCAGGCTCCCTTGTTCCCTTGCATGGTCGACCCTCCATAGCGGTCACCCCTTTAGTCGAGCATTACCCGCCCTGATGGTCTATCTGTTAGGGTCATTGGTTCTGTTCGCTCCCAGTTCCCTACCCTCATTGAGCCTGATGACATGTATTCCCCCTGTCACTATGTGTGGATGTCCTTAGGAGTTTTCGACCCCTAGGCTGCATTCGCCACCCTCAGAGACCATCCCACCCTTTGGTTTGCGACACACTCCTCATAGGACATATGGTTGCTTTGTTGCTCTCAGACCGAGGCTACTGCCTCGGACATTCTAGGATTTAGTTGTTCTGCTTTTGCTGTTCTTAGGACTTATACACTGGTCAGTTGTTCCCGGACTAAGGCTATTGCCTCCAACATTCTAGGATCTAGTTGTCACTACCTTCTGCTTTCCTAGGACATGTATGCTAGTTAGTTGCTTCTGCTTTCACTTAGGCTGTTGGCTGTGACATTGTTGTTTTGTGACATTTTCTATCCTAGGTTCCATCGCATGGACTCATTATGGAGCTTGCTCCGCATCCTAGACTACTAAGGTTTTCTTTTTCTTTGGTAGAGTTCCACTTCTTGGCGGAAGCGTGCTTGTATCTAGGCGATCCATCACAGGTCGAGGATCGTGTAGCGGACCTCTGGTTGGCCTGTGAGACCAGCCCCTTGGCCTGTTCTCACAGACCTGTGTTTTATTCGGGAAGTCCAGTCCAGGCCGGTACCTCTGTCGGTACCAGCCAGTCCAGTCCAGTCCCGTCAGTCGGTTGGGGTATAGCCCAGCCGTTGTCTGTTTTCGAGATCATTCTACACTTGCACGATTTTGGAGTATGTGCGTTGGAGTCTTGCGTGGGAGCTGCGCTGTGCCATCTCGCTCCTCCCTCATCTACCATCTCTATCTGTATCCCAGGCGGAGAACCTTCCCGGTGGGTCCGCTACACCAATGGCTTGTTGAAATTTAATGCAGACGAGTTCACGATAATCCTTCTAAATTACCAGTGGCCGGTCAGCTCAATGATGATATCCCAAGCACACCCTTGTGACTCTAGAAATTC